GAGTATATATTCTGCTAGGAAAAGAACGAGAAACTCAAGTTTCTAAGATTTGATGAGGTGCACCTAAGCACGTGTAGACATTTTCTATGTTATTGTCCATGATTTAATACACCCATAATTAAAGGTATTAAATTTCCCACTTTTTTCGAAGTCAAGAAAAACAAAGACAACATTTAAAGGTTATGGAACAACAACATGTACATTTGAGAGATAGTTATCTTCTTTTTAAGAGTTTGTTTAAACCTCTTAAGCTAAAGACTTCTCTATCCGAGGAAGAAAGCCGGAAGGAAGCTGGTATATGATTCATTCATTTGCTACTCTTCTTTCATTCCTTTCACCTATCTAGACTCTTATGTCCTGTGTCATAGTATCAACACATGCATTTTCATGATTAATGTCTATCTTTGGGGCTTCTAAAACCGTTCAAATTCTCTAACTTCTCTAAGTATGAGAACTTTTTCGGCGTAAGAGTTGGGGATTTAGTAGGTTTATCGCCGCCTTTCGAACTATTGTCGTTCCAACCCATGAAATCCAATAAGGTCTTGGAGTAGTGTGGATCAAGCTTCTCGGTTTCTTCTCCTGAATTAGAAGATCCTGCTGACTCCGAATCCGTCTCTGTTGTTCTCCCACCATCTGTTGTTTCTTCAGCCAATGAAGTCTGCTTTAGTGCCAAAGAATCTGTGTAAAGAACATCCTCTATCCTCGACATCACCGTGTAAGCCAAGCTCTCAAGTATCCTCGAGTAACTCTCCAACACCGCTTGCCCAACATCCTGTATCCATTTCATTAGTCTATAATGACAAACATGGAAACTAAATTGATGTAATATATTACATTTTCTTGTATTTACCTTGTTAAACTGAATCTTGGAGATGTCAAGTGAAGATTGAGGAAGACCGGGAAATTTCTGTTTGAGCAAGACCAAGATCGTCTCTGCTCTCTCTTCGAACAATTCTCTTTTCTCCAAGCTAACTGCTGATCCCCACGAAGATTTGTTGTCCTTTAAGTGAAGTTTCCTCTTCCAAATCACAACAGATGCCTCAATCCTGTTCTTCAAATCTAACACTTTGTGCTCTGTTGACAAGTCCAACAACGACAAGAACTGCTCTGGATCAAACCACTCCTCTGTTATGCTCTTGTAGATCGAGTCTCCAAGGCTGGCCCTTCCGTTCTGTCAACATAAATCAAAGATTAAAAGCCATATATATAACACAACAAATGGAGAGATAAAAAAATAATCTGAATGATTTGGTTTACCTTTGGGAGAGAGTCAATGTAGCTCTCGGGTATTGCCATTTCGGAGAGGACTTGAGCATTGATGGCCATTGCAGCCTTTTGAACCTGTGTGACTGAATCT